CTGCCTTTAAGTGACAGGGGAGGACTTGGGCCAAGCGGTGACGGAGCTGAAATTACCGGACCTGAATGAAGAATGTCTCATTCTGAAGGGCTGGTAATTCTGCAGCATCCCACATGGAGACTGGAGAATCTGTACGGAGCGTTCAGCTAGTTTTGCCAATTTTTGTTACTTTATATGAAAATGCAACTTTTTTAAAAGAGCCTTTTCTTAAAATCCCCTTGATCTGCTGTGTAGTGCCTGAGCCTGGCTGTTTAACATCACTATTCCCAGAATTTGTCTGCAGTGACTTATAATTCAGGTCGGTAACAGCAATGCCCCAAACACAAGGCAAAAATTGGCTTAATTGCCCTTCTGCAGTTCCAGTAGCAGCAGTTCAAGTGAGTTTAAACTGATCTCATTGCATTAAAAAAAAGCTGCATTAAACCATTGCTTTCTCTTTTGCCATTACTTTTGCAAAATAGGAACTTTTTACTTCACTCGTTTTTACTCTTTTCTCTGCACTTGAATGGCTGCTAACGTCTTTGATTATATTTAAAACGTGGGCGCGTGGCAAGCCCACATTCACTGCAGAACGGCGGTACCTCTGCTCTCTCAAAGTTTACTATTGCGTGCATTTCTGTATCTTTTTTTTAAGCTAACGATGATACGTATTTATTTCAGTTCCAGTTGTGTTTAGAACTGGCTAATCTCTCCCTCTGTTGAATTATTTATTAAACTGCTGCATTCCTGTTGTGTTGAAGTTCTCTGTCCTCGTCCTTCTCCCCAGCCTGTGTTACAAGACAGCTTCCCAAGCCCGCCCCGAGCTTCTGCCAGCACTGCTACCGACCCTTGTAAGTTGTGCTGAAGAGGCTGTTACACGAGACTGCGCATCACGCCTTGTAAATCCGCCTCCTGGATCAAATGGGCGCAAGTTGTCAAGTTATTTCTACCACTTCCTTAAAACTAAAGCATTCTAGAGCAAAAGGTGCTTGGAACCAATTCACATTCACCCTTGATCCTAAAGTGGCCATCCGGGTTTCCACTGGGGTATTAAAATAGCAGAACCTCAACAGCTCCAACTTCTCCGGGGCTTTGGCATGAGCTGTTTTGCGCCCTGACCCTGCTGCTCATCGTAGTGCACGGGGGCCAAGTGCTTGTGCAAGAGGAAGCGTGTTTCGGGCAGTTTGTGCAGGGCAACAATTACAGTATCAGGCCAAGTAGGGATCAGCGAAAGGCTCTGAAGGAGCGAGGGGTCTGCTGCGTGTGGCGGGGCAGTGCTGGCAGGGTCCTGCCTGCCCCCAGCCCTGTCCCCACCCCACGGCAGTGCAGCACGTCCCCGGCTCCTGCCTGCCCCCGTGGAGCCTTCTCCCGGTTCTGGTCTCAGCATCCCAGAGTCTATTGTCTTAATTTCCAGCCAGGCTTAATTTAGATCTTATCTTACTCATTTAAACACTTCTTTTTGTGTTTGAAGACAGTACTAAGTGAACAATATAATCACAAGAAGTATAAACACATCCAAGTCAGCTCTTGGATGGGATCTGGTGTTTGATGGCCGATATCCTGTAATGAGCTGGAAACACAAGCCGTCTGTTATACAATATATTGCCTTTTGTATTTATTTCCTCTGGACTTCAGCTTAGTTTTACTTTTTTTCATATTTGTTTGAGAAAGAACCCTCAGCTTGTCTCACTTTGCATCACTGGAGGAAAAAGGGAAGGTATTTCAATACAGTATGTTGTTGGCCATCCTCTCCTCCATGTGGTTGGTCATTCGGGCGACGCGCGCGACCTGGCATTGCTGTGATGGGGACGCTGCAGCCATGCCGCCCCACCAGGGGCAGAGCTGCCCCAGAGTGGGATTCCTGTGTTTTGCACCATGCAGAAAGCCTTCATCTTGTTCCAGCCGCCCTCATTAACACCTCCTCCTGCCCTGTCATTTCTGATACTGGTGTTTGCTAGTGCTGGTGATGACAGCCTGGGGCTACACACTGGCCCGAGGGGCTCCGGCATTGCCGCCGGCGGTGCGGGGATATCCTGTGCCGGGGGCCAGTGCTCTCCCTCTGCCATTTGTCTCTTCCCACTGAACTCTTTTGTTTCCTGTCCGTGGGCTAAGCGTTTCCCCATGAGAGCCCCTGCTCCTGCCCCTCAGGAGGAAGCACGATCAGCTTCCAGGAAAGATGTTTAGGTTCGTTTCTTGAAAACGATCATTCCCCTCGCTCTGACCCGAAAGCTTTCCTGTTGGGTGGAAAACTGTCCCAGTGCCTAAGCTCGCACTTTCCGCCCTGTGTCTGCAACCTGTTGATCTCTCTTTGCCATGTTGGGGGCAGAGGGAGCTGCCCGTGTGCACCTCTGGGATGGGGGGAAGATGCTCTGAGGCCATTAAAGGAGAGACCCCGAGCAGGCGCTGGAGCGGGAACTGCGGTGGGTCCCTGTGCGGGGGGCGAGGGGCAGCTAAGAGCCAAACCTGCGAGAGCTGCCGCAGGGGCCCGCTGCCACGCTGTGCTGAGCTTGGATGGGTCCCCTGATCTCTACGTGGCTTGATAACCTCGCTGTTAGAGCTGACCCTTGTGGAGTGGGAGGTTTATCAGGTTTCCATAACTCTGATTTCCACTGCAATATGTGTTGTCCGTCCGCCTGTGTGGTGAAGGCCGGGGCAGCTCCCGGGCTCTTGTGGTGTCAAGTGCTCTGCAAGCTCCGAACCGGAGGAAGTGCATCATGAGGCACTGGACTTTCTGGTAGCTATTAATCTCCTGATGAAGGGTCCGGGAAAGCTTCGTTTTAAAAGAAAGGACTGTTCCGTAAGTACTCAACTCTGGTTCAGATGATGATTTATGGGGTTTTTCTTTTCTCACCTGAAGCATCATTTTGAGGGGCACCCAGGGGCTCGGGGTGCGATGCCGAGAGCTGGTGGAGAGCCGCCTCTTGGGGAAACGCCAGAGTCCGGTCCCTGGTGACCACAGCCGCTTTGCCCCCGGCTCCTGGGCAGAGGCTGCGCAGCTCCACAGACCCCGGCACGAGGCACGGACCTGGCAGCCGGTGCAGCCAGTGGCCACCAACGCGCTGATTCCCCCAGAACCTGTCGGTGTTGGTCCGTCGTTGCAGGAGACCCAGCTGCAAGCTGCACCAGACCCTGTCCAAGGGTGACTTCCCCTTATTTTTTTAACTGTGTTTTGCCACTCCTGCCCCAAAATCCTGTAGCAGTGAGAGTGGTCTGTGAGGACAGTATTTCCCTTCTTTAAACTCTCACTTGGTGACATTACGAAGCAGTCCTTCCCCTAATGAAATGACTCATTGCCTGGTGCTTACCATGTCTGCAAACCGCTGTGGGTGTGCAGCCCATCAGCCCTGACCATTCCCTCCCGGGGCCCACCCGGGGTCTTCGCTTGCCCATCACCCACGGAGGGACCGGTGAGGTCTCATGCACCGAGTGGGCACCACGGACCTGGGCTGTGGGAGCAGGAGGGGGAGGCACCGCATGTGTGTCCTCAGGTGTCCCGGGCTCGCTGCTGGGAAGAGCCCGGCCGGTGTGAGGAGCAGCCCAGACCACGGCTTGTCCCACGCCAGGGCTGGGCCGGGGGCTCCGGTGGCTGCTGGAAACTCCGGGAAGTGGCTCTGTTAACACAGGATGGAAGGAACAAAAACCCCAGAGCTATTAATCACCCAGCTTCGGGTGAATGTGCATATTTGATGGCGGCTGTTTACAGAGCGCTTCCCTTGTTCAGAGGCCTCTTGGACCACCAGAGGATTAATTACCCGGCCTCCCAAAAGCATGCGTGATGCTGCCTCTCTGGAGCATTCCCGGATGGGAAATGGCCGGGTCCTGCGCTGACTTCCCACCTTCTGCAACAGGAGGTGCAGGGCTGGGCACGTCCCCTCCCTCGGCCCTTCAGCGCCTTCCCTGGCCTTGGCCACAGCCCAGCGGGACGGGATGGGGCCAGAACTAGTCCCGTTTCTTCGTGGGGACTCGGGTAGGAGCGAGGAAGTGATGCCAGACCTGCCAAGAGACAGGACAGGCGCTGAGGCTGTGCCAGGGCCTTGGGGCTAGAAAACGTGGGGTAATCAGCATCTTCCACACGGTAATGCTTTCTCCATCTATGCCATAAAACCGACCCTCCTAGGAATGCCTACTTTTATCCCCCAAAACACACTGTTTTGGGAATAAATGCTGTTTGCAGCCCTGCTGAGCAGCACCCAAGCCTGGGGCTGGACACCCTCTGCCCTGGGGATGCACCGTTCCAAACCCCACGTTTCAGGATTCGGGGCTCAGGGACGGGTTCCTCCCGTGTGCCCTCATGCCGCTGCTTGGGCTGCGACGGGGGCTGCCTGTTCCCGAGGCCGCACTCCTGCGGGGGTCCCAATGGGATGAGCCCTGGGCAGGGGCTGCAGCTGTGGGCTCCCCTCCCTCTGCCCCGCGAGCTGCCCACAGGCAGCTGTGGTCGCCGGCGATGTTAAACACAAGCCCTGGCCCTGCTTTTGGGGCAGGGGGTCCGAGACGGCCCCTCCCAAAGAGAGATATCCCCAGTCAGCCGCACGAGGGTCCATTGCTTGAGGTATGAAAAGGGCTGGTTTGCTGTGGGATCCAGGGGGAATGGCAGAGCCCGGTGAGAACCGGGGAAGGGATGGGATCTTGCTGCGTCTCGGGGTGCAGATGCGGGCGCAGGGCTGCCCGGGGCAGGTGATGGGGGACTCTGCAGGCGCACAGGGACCCTTCGGGCCAAGGGCTCTCCTGGGTTTGGGGCTGCCAGCACAGCCCCCAGCTGCAGAGCTGGGTGTTGTGCAAGAGCTGAACTTGGAAGAAAATCAGAAACCTCCCTCTGGAAATACCCCTCGGGCTGGAAAGTCGCAGAGGCCCCGGGGCTGGTGCTCACGGGGGCGGTTCCTGCAGAGCTTAAGAAGGGCTGAGGACGGGGCTGGCGGACAGAAGGAGACAGCCCCCGCCGGCGGCGTTCACTCCCTGGAAGGAGAGAAGGAAGGAAAACCAGCCCTTGCTGCTGCCCTGCCCTGCTGCTGGCTCTGCGGGCGATGGAGCCGGCTCCTCACCTCCTCCTCCTCAGCTTGCTGTGGGGCTGCAGTGGTGAGTGCTATGGTGGCCGCGACCCATCCCAGTCCCTTAACCCACCGTGCTGCCTGCTGCTTTCTTTGCTTTGCCGCATGGCACCACGGGCCAACGCGGCCCCAGGGTCTCGCTGCTGTTGAGCACCGGTGGATGCCGTGTCCCACGTGCATCGCTGGTACAGCACTCCTCATCCCAGCGCTGCAGCCTGGCGCTCAGAGCCATGGAGCGCACCAACGTGCGGGCAACAGCATGCGCCTGGCTGGGGTCCGCTGTCCCACAGACAGAAGAGCAGCAGCACTGGTGAAGGATGGGGACTGGGGGGAAGGGGCATTTGGGCTCATTTCTCCAAAAACTGGCTGGAAAATCTCAGTGATAAACAGAGACGGATCCAGCAGCAATGCCTGCGATGGGCAGACCTGGGCCGGCAACTGTCGCAGGCGTGTTGGCTCCACAGTGCTCCCGATGCCTGGCGTTGGCAAGCAAGTGTCCTGGGACAGCAGCACTGAGGGGAAAGGCTTTTCCATCCCTAACGAGCCATCGCTAATGAGCAGTGCCCCCCCATGGTGATGGGGATAGAACTGCCGCGGTGCCTGAGCGTGACTGTCTGCGTCCCAGCAAAGCGGGGAACCGGCACCCCATTTGCCTTGTAAACGTCTAGATTCTGGTGACTGTCCCCTTCCCTAAACCCCATGTTTTCCTCTTTCCTCCACCCAGGGCAACCTGCTGACAAGCTGGTGGTGATGCCGCAGCAGCCGGTGGTGCGGTATGGGGGCTCGGTGCAGCTGAACTGCTCCCTGGCCTGCGCGGAGGGCACGGTGCAGTGGAAGGGGCTGGACACCAACCTGGGGAGCGTCACCACCTTCCCCACCCACAGCATCCTGCACGTCAGCAGCGCCGTGGTCGCCACGGGAGGCACCAGGATCTGCCAGGGGACCTGCCACAGGCAGCGCTACCAGCACGCTGTTGACCTGAAGGTCTATGGTAAGCATCCCCCAGCCCGTCCCTCACTGCCTCCCCGGCAAAGTCCTGCATCCCCCAAGGCAGCCCACTCCCTCCTGGGCAGCGGTGCCAAAAATCACCACTTGACTCTGCAATTCCCTTCTCAGCCCTCCCGGACACACTGCAGCTGGAGGCAGAGCCCCATGCCCTGGAGCCGGGGCAGCCCACCAGCCTGCGCTGCTCGGCCCGGCGGGTTTACCCACCCACGGGGCTGGGGCTCACCTGGTACCGGGGGGACCAGGTGCTGGAGGAGACAGACTTCGATGTCACGGAGACTGATGAGGAGCTGTTCGACATCGTGTCCACGCTGCCGGTGGCTGGGAAGGACGTGGGAGAAGGGGTGGAGTTCAGGTGCAAGGTGATGCTGAGCATTGGGCAGGAGACCTTCACCCGGGTGGCATCCGTGGTGGCGAGCGCTGGGGGTGAGTGCCAGGGTGGGAGCTGGGCACCCGGGTTTGCATGCTACCCTGACTGCTGGTGCTGCCCCCATTGCCCTCCACTGCTTGAAATAGCTTTGCTGGAACGGGAGGAGCCCCCATTTCTGCACTGCTCTGCCAGTCTCCTGTCCCCGTCCCCGCTGCTGCGCCGGTGGTGCCAGTTTCCTCCTGCTTTGCTGCCTCCCCCTGTCCAGGGCTGGCGTGCTCGTGGGGTGGCAGAGGATGGGGTCATTGGGCAGCGCGAGCAGAGGGGGCTGTCACCCCATGGGGATAACGTGTGCCAGAGAGGCCCCATCCTGGATCCGAGCTGCAGCAAATCCACCTGTGACCTGCTGTGTTTGCAGCTGTGACGGAGCAGCCGATGGCCACCGCCCCATCCAAG